AGCCTTTAAAACAAAACAATTAGCTTTCAGTTCAAAATGTAATAAAAGAATTCTATCCCTATGACCTTGTTATAAGAGATCCATTTTCCCCTTTTATTTAAGTAACATTTTTTGAAAAAAAGTATAATTTTTACCATGCTATTGTTTGTCTGTTACTTACTGTTATAGGAAGCTTGTTCTTAGAGATAAACTTTTGTGGTAGTGATTGCTTGAAATTTAATTATTTTTCTTTATAAAATATTTAGTATCATTTGATAAATCCTTAGGAGTGCCCAAAAAGAGAACAGGTGGCAGCATTCTTTTTTCTTCTAAGCAGAAGACTAACTTAGAAAGGCTATTATTATAAAATCACCTGTCTAGCATGTATTAGAATAAATGTCTCAGAACTGGAAGAGACCTCAGAAATCATCTAATCCTCCCACTGCCAGTCATTTTGGGGATAAGAACTTTGGGTCATGGAGAGGTTGAGAGATTTACTCAAGGTCACGCAGCTAGTTTTTATCATAGCTCATTTTTCTCCCTTGGTTCCAAAGTTGTATATAATCTGCAAACCAGCTGTATTTTAGCCTCGTTCCTCTAGTTCAGAGCTCGTCTGCAGTTCCTACATTTTAGAAGTCATTTTGCTTGTTCATGTCTAAGTTTTGTATTATAAGAACTCAGATAGAAGGTTTTTTTTTTCTGTGCAGAAGCTTTGTATTTTGATGTAGTCACATTTGTTTATTTTCTCCTTAGTTTCCATTGTCCTAGGAGCTGTATCAATAAAGATATTGCTATGATATATGTCTGCTATTTTGCAGCCTAATTCTTCTAATATTTTTATGGTTTTCTGTCTTATGTTTAAGTCCTTTATCCATTTTGAGTTTATTTTTGTGTATGGTGTAAGTTGGTGGTCTAGTTTCATTTTTGTACATGTATCTGTCCAATTTCCCAACAGCATTTATTGGAGAGATTGTCTTGACTCCATTGTATGCTCTTGACTCCTTTGTCAAATATTAATTGAGCATACTGGCTCAGGTCAATTTCTGGGTTCTCAGTTTAGTTCCATTTGTATGTATGTCTATTTTATGCCAGTACCAGACAATTTTGAGTACAGTGGCTTTGCAATACAGCTTAACATCTGGTATTATGATCCCTCCAGCTTTGTTCCTCTTTCTCAGAATTAATTCCATATAAATTTTTGGAGAGTTTGTTATATGTCTGTGAAATATGCCATTGGTATCTTAAATAACAAGAAAACCCACTGCATGAGAGAAAAATATTTGCCAATATTATCTCCAATAAGAATTCAATCTCCAAAATTTATAAGAAACTCATAAATATTAACGAATGGAAGATAAACAACCCAATAAAAAATAAAGGGACACTTTTCAAAAGAGGACATACAGAAGGCCAAGAGATATATGAAAACATGCTCAAAGCCACTAATCATCCAAGAGATGCAAATCAAAATGTCAACGAGGTACCATCTCACACCTGTCAGGATGGCTATCATCAACAAATCAACAAATGACAAGTGCTGGCCAGGATGTGGAGAAAAGGAATCCTAGTGCACTGATGGTGGGAATGCAGACTGCTACAGCCACTGTGGAAAAATAGTATGGAGTTTCCTCAAAAAATTAAAAATGGAACTTCCATTTGACCCAATAGTTCCACTTCTAGGAATATATCCCAATAAATCAGAAACACCAATCAGAAAGGATATATGCATTCCTATGTTCATAGCAGCACAATTTACAATAGCTAAGATTTGTAAACAGCCTAAGTGCCCATCAGCAGATGAATGAATTAAAAAATGGTGTTTCATCTGCACAATGGAATACTATGTTGCTTTAAAAGAGAAGGAACTCTTACCATTCAAGACAGCATGGATGAACTTGGAGAACATTATGCTAAGTGAAATAAGCCTGTCAGAGAAAGATAAATATCACATGATCTCACTTATTTGTGGAATGTAATAAACAATGTAAACTGATGAACAAAAATAGAGCTAGAGGAAAAAGATATCTTAGAACATAATAGAAGTAATCCTGTTATTTGCAGATTTTCTACAACTTTTGTGATATAATATGTTAGTACAGGTAATATTATTATATTCAAAATCACTTTTCTTGAAATATAAATGTTCATTGCATGTAAATGGCTAATTATTTTGTATCTAAAATCTGGTAATAGATTTATTTTGTATATTGTAAAAATATTAATAAATAATAATAATAATAATAAAGTAAAGGCATGAGAGTAGTGAGGAACTTGTTCATGAATATATCAAGGGAGGAGTAATTTATAAGGAAAGTGTAGGAAGTCTGAGGCTATAAGACATGTGAGTACATGACCTGCTTGAGTAAAAATTGAGGAAACCAACATAGCTTAAGTAGAGTGAGTAAGAGTAGTAAGAGATGATAATAATAAAAAAAGAACTCAGAATACATATGGGGAGATACGATGTGATACTGTGCAGTAGAAATACATACACAGTAGGCTTGAATGTGGTGACATTCAACATATTGTAACAAAACTTTACAAAAATAGAAATGGGGATTCTCAACCTGGATCGGCTTAGGTGGCTGCATGAGTTTCCCTGCATCACTCATCTCTCTTTGTGGACCAGCTTAGTACAGTGAGTGAGAGGGTGTAATTTGGAAACTTGTTTGAGGTTTTCTCTAGTTCTCTTTCTCTAACAGTCTGTTAGTGCTCCCTTAAAAGTGATCTTATATTTTTGGAACTGTGACCAGAATATTTTTTTAGTCAGTCATGTGTATAGTCTCTGTCATGAATGAAAGGAAGTATGTTTCTAAGTAAAGATGTGATACAGTTACAGCTGGATCATAGGGCGCCATTGCCGTGGCCACATGAAAGAAAATTTTACCAGCTTTATTAATTTTTAATCTCTAGAATGTAATTGTAGATATGGTTATCTTAACCTGTGTTTACAGCTGGGAAATATCAGACAAAAACTATTACCATATAGCAAAAGCATATAAAAAATATTGGATAGTGTACTATCCAATATGGTAGCCACTTATGCTGTATATCTACTGAGTGTTTGAAATGTGGCCAACATGAATTAAGAAGTTACATAGGGATAAAACACACACTAGATTTAAAAAAAAATTAGTACAATAAGAGGAATACACAATGTATGTCTCATCAATTACGGTGTTGAATAAATGTTTAATGATGATATTTTGCATTAAAATATGTTATTAAAATTAATTTCCTCTTTATGTAGTTTCTAGAAAATTTAAAACTTATATGTGTCTTTCTTCATATTTCTTTTAGGCAGTGCTCGTCTATGCTATATCTTGCCTCTTATATGGAGAACTAGAGGCCCGGTGCATGAAATTCTGTACTCTGGTGGAGCGGGGGAGGAAGGTACCCTCAGCCCAGATTGTGAGAAGTCACAGGCCAGGCTGAGGGATCCGCCTGGTGCTTGATCAGGGCCAGGGAGGGATGCAAGAAGTTGGCCAGGTGGGGAGGGACTGCAAGAAGGCTCCAGGGCATGTACGGCCTGTCTTGCTCAGTCCTCATCAGCTGGATCCCAGCAGCAAGCTAATCAACTGATCAGAGCATCTTCCCCCTGGTGGTAAGTGTATATCATAGTGAGTGTTTGAGCGGCCTTAGCATGTCATTAGCATATTACTCTTTGATTGGTAGAATGGAAGGACAGACACTTAACATATTAGACTTTTATTATATAGTACTAAAGGCCCGATGCATGTGTGACTGTGACAGTCAGCCTAGCCTAAGAGATAAGGCCAGTTCTTTGTCCTGAGGGGCTAACCAGGGTGTGACAAACCATGTGACAGTCAACCTAATGGGCCCAAGAGATAGGGCCAGTTCCTTGTTCTGAGGGATCAATCGGGAGTGACTTACCAGCAGTGGAATGGGAAGGGAGGTATAAGAGGAGGGACTGCCCCTCCATCAGGGCTCTCACCTGGGTGTTTGCCGGCTGTTGCGTCAGCCAAGGTTTGAGCCCGGATTCGAATCTGTAATAAACTCTAGCATGCTTAATTAAATTGGCTCCGGTGGTCCATCTCTTGGGGACTCGCTTCGTAACATTTGGAGGCTCCAGTGAGATCCCACCAGGGGGGCTTCTCAGTAAGCCCCTCTAAAAAATTTAAGAAATTTCACGTCCTCTGGAACATCGGACCACGCCCGGATCTGCCTGCTCAGCGCCGGTAAGTCAGGCCTGGTTTTTCTTTTAAATTTCTTGAAGCTTCTTGTCCTGGTTTGGTACGTACCCTGTTATCGTGAACTCGGGAGGCAGGACGCCGCTAAACTCCCGGTTCGCAACCGAGGTGGTGACGACCACCGAGGCCTGGTTTTGGAGTCTGGAGACTCCCTGGTTCTGGTTGGTTTTGGAATGTGGAGACTCCATGGTTCTGGTCTGAGTGAGTGTTGTTCTGGTCTGAATGAGTGTTGTGAGTGTTGAGAGAGTGCGGCCGCAATCAAGTGTGTGAGAATTGGTAAAAGTGTTTTCGTTTTTCCTCTTTTGGATTTGTTTTGGACTTATTTGTTGCCTAACTGTTTATAGATTGGGAAGAAAGAGAGAAATGGGGCAAGGAAACTCGAAGGAGAGTCACCTAAGTCCCCTTGAATGTATGATTAAAAATTTTTCTGACTTCAGAAAACGGGGTGAAGGCTATGGTGTTTCTGTAGATGCCTTCACTCTCCGGAGTCTCTGTGAGTTGGAGTGGCCGAGATTTGGTGTTGATTGGCCTTCAACAGGGACCGTAGACATGGGGCCCTGTACGGGAGTCCGGCGGATAGTTTATGGAAGCCCCTGGCATCCGGACCAAATTCCATACATTGATATCTGGATTGATGTTCTTTTTGATAATCCCAAATGGCTGAAGAAGTGTGGTTGTCTCCCTGACAAAGGAAAATTGGGAAAGAGACCTCCCGGGTCCGTCTTACTCGCCCGGCCACAGGCGAGCAGAGAGAAGCCGAGTCAGGCCCCTTCAGCACCCCCTGTTTTAGAGGCTCCTGAGGAAGACCCGATGTCGGGCCTGAAATTCCCTTGCCCACCCCCTTATGTGGCCGCAGCTGCCTCCACTACCTCGCCAAACAAGGAGAAGGGGCCTGACCCCCCAGTGAGATCCCAGATGAGAGTGGAGTATCCCCCCCTGCCCCGAGAAGGAGCCGCCGAGAAGGAACCCCCTGTGTCACCTGACTCTTCCAGTTCTGGTGAGGGGGATAGGAAAGGGACCACCCTTGATGAGCTCCCCCTCAGCCCTCCCCACACTCGTTCGGGAGCTCAGTTTAGTGAAAGCCGACTGGCTGCCCTGTTACCGCTTAGGGAGGTGGGAGAAACGGACTCCCATGGGCTGAGCCTAAGGACTTATGTTCCTTTCACCACCTCGGATTTATACAATTGGAAGAATCAGAATCCCCCCTTTTTGCAGAACCCCCAGGGGCTGATAACTTTACTGGAGTCTGTATTCTACACTCACCAGCCCACCTGGGATGACTGCCAGCAACTACTAAATACCCTGTTTACCAGAGAGGAGAGAGAGAGAATAAAGACTGAAGGGAGAAAGCAAGTTCTTGACGGCCATGGGGAGCCGGTTACAGATTCAGCCCTGATTGACACCGTCTTCCCCTTGGCCCGCCCTAATTGGAACCACAATTCGATGTCAGGAAGGGAGGCTCTTGACCATTACCGCCAGGTTCTCCTGAGAGGCATTCGGGCTGCCGCTCGAAAGCCTACCAATCTCTCTAAGGTGACCGAGACCAAACAAGGGCCAAATGAGAGTCCGGCGGCTTTCCTCGAGCGACTATGTGAGGCCTATAGGACGTATACATCTATAGATCCTGATGCTCTGGCAAATCAGGCAGCCCTTGTGGTCCAATTTGTAGCTCAGTCAGCCCCAGACATCAGGAAAAAATTACAGAAACTAGAAGGCTTTGAAGGGAAGTCTCTTTCTGAGCTGCTGGCTATAGCCCAGAGGGTTTTTGAAAACCGAGAGGACCCATCACAGGCCCTGACCCAGAAGATGGCCAAGGTCCTCATAGCCATAGAAGAGAGGGACAGAGGAAAAGGGGGAAATGGGCAAGGAAAAGGAAAAGGAAGATGGCACAGGCAAGGTCAGAGACAATTGCTTGGGCGGAATCAGTGTGCGTATTGCAAGAAGACAGGTCATTGGAAGAATGAGTGCCCTGAGAGATCAAGGGAAAAGAGGTCGGAGCCCAGTCCAGTCTTGGTGGAAGAAGTAGACTGAGGACGTCAGGGCTCCTCCACCCCCCGGGAGCCCTGGGTAACACTAACCGTGGGGGGCAAGCCTGTTGACTTCTTGGTAGATACTGGGGCCACCCACTCTGTCCTCCTAGAGCCTGAAGGCCCATTGTCCTCCCGAATAACAGCTATTGTGGGGGCAACTGGGAAACTGAAATCTTACCCTTGGTCCCAGGCCCGCATCACCAACATAGGAGAGAAAACGGTCACTCATTCCTTCCTTGTCATCCCTGAATGCCCCGAGCCACTCCTGGGAAGGGACCTCCTCCAAAAGTTAAAGGCCACTATCTCCTTCACAGAGGAGGGCCCCCAAGTCAAAACGGGGGAAGGAAAAATTCTTGTTACGTTCCCGCTTGAAGAAGAGTACAGGTTACTCGATGAGCCTTCCCCGGGGATGGAATCTGACCTCATAGCAAAGTGGCACCAGGAGATCCCGGAGGTATGGGCTGAAACGAATCCGCCAGGCTTCGCAGGGCACCGGCCCCCAATAGTCGTCCAACTCCTGAGCACTGCTCTGCCAGTCCGTGTCCGCCAGTATCAAATCAGTGGAAAAGCCAGGGTGGGGATCTCCAAACATATCAAGAGGCTTAAAGAAGCAGGAATCTCAGTCCCGTGCCAATCGGCCTGGAACACTCCACTCCTACCTGTGCAAAAACCAGGCATAGAGGACTTCAGGCCAGTCCAGGACTTAAGGGAAGTCAATAAGCTGGTAGAGACAATACACCCAACTGTTCCAAACCCCTACACCCTGCTCAGCCTCCCTAAACCAGACCAACAATTTTATTCAGTGCTGGATTTAAAGGATGCATACTTCTGCCTCCCCTTAGCATCCCAGAGTCAGCCCATTTTCGCATTTGAGTGGGTAGACCCAGAGAGAGGGGACTCAGGACAACTGACTTGGACACGCTTGCCCCAGGGGTTCAAGAACTCTCCCACTCTCTTCGATGAGGCTCTAAGTCAGGATCTCCAGGACTTCAGAGCCAGGCATCCGGAGGCCACATTACTCCAGTATGTGGACGACCTCCTCCTGGCTGCCTCATCTTTATCGGAGTGTCAAGAAGTCACCCGGGACTTACTAAAAACTCTAGGGAGCCTCGGCTACCGAGTCTCAGCTAAAAAGGCCCAACTCTGCAAGACTGAGGTTACATATTTGGGGTACCATCTTCGCCGAGGAGAGCGCACCCTCTCTCAGAGCCGGATTCAAGCCATCCTGTAGATCCCCACTCCAACCACCAAAAGGCAAGTACGGGAGTTCCTTGGGGCTGTCGGGTACTGTAGACTGTGGATCTTAGGCTTTGCAGAGATTGCTAAGCCACTGTACACCGCCACTGGGGGAAAGGATCCAGCCCTTACCTGGACTACAGCAGAAGAAGCAGCATTCAACGCACTCAAGACAGCATTGGTGAGTGCCCCTGCTTTGACCCTGCCAGACCTTGAAAAACCATTTCACTTGTTTGTAGCTGAGTCCCGGGGAGTAGCGAAGGGGGTGCTAACCCAGACACTAGGTCCCTGGAGACGGCCAGTTGCCTACTTGTCAAAAAGACTGGACCCTGTGGCTGCTGGGTGGCCCGGGTGCTTACGCGCCATTGCGGCCACAGCCACCCTGGTAAAGGAGGCATCAAAGTTGACTTTTGGCCAGAACCTTCAAGTTACGGCTCCCCACAATGTGGAACAGCTATTACGGGCCCCCCCAGAAAGGTGGCTTTCAAATGCTCGAATAACCCAGTATCAAGTCCTCCTTCTTGATCCTCCAAGAATAAGTTTCCTCCAAACTGCCGCCTTAAACCCTGCCACGTTGCTGCCAGAGCCTAGAGAGGATGCCCCACTCCATGATTGCGGCGAGATACTCACGTCCCTGACTTCTCTAAGGGCGGATCTCACTGACATCCCTCTACCCGAGGCCGATGAGACCCTCTTTACAGATGGGAGCAGTTTTGTGGAAGAGGGCACCCGATATGCAGGAGCGGCCGTAGTCACTCTGGAAACTGTCATCTGGGCGCAAGCCCTAGGACATGGGACTTCTGCTCAAAGGGCTGAATTGATTGCCCTAACCCAGGCGCTCCGATGGGGAAAGGGAAAGAGAGTCAATATCTACACGGACAGTAGGTATGCCTTTGCCACTGTTCATGTACATAGAGCCCTATACAGGGAAAGGGGCCTCCTCATGGCAGGAGGGAAGGACATTAAAAACTCTCAAGAAATCCTGAACTTACTGTCCTCAGTTTGGGGACCCAAGGAGGTGGCAGTCATCCATTGCAGGGGACACCAGAAAGACAACTCTGAGATATCCAGGGGAAACCGTCTAGCCGACCAAACAGCTAGGGACATTGCCAAAAGACCAGTAGGGCCCCTGGAGGTCCTGATCCTCCAGAGGGATGTCACTCCTCCGAGCCCTCATTACACCTCAGAGGAGGAGGAACTAGGTCAGAAGCTCCAAGGGACAAAGAACGAAGGGGGATGGGTCCGCCTGCCCGATGGGAGGATCTTCCTTCCCCAGGCCTTGGGAAGGAAAATAGTTGAGCAAACACATCGGAACACCCACCTGGGAGGAACTAAACTGGCCGAGCTCCTCTGGAAGAGCTATTTTCTAAAGGGACTGTATAAACTCACTCAGGACATTGCTCGAAGATGCCACACGTGTGCCAGGGTGAATCCTAACCCTATTCAAGTTAGGGAACCTGGAGTTTGGTTCAGGGGAAGCACCCCGGGAGAGCACTGGGAGCTGGACTTTACGGAGCTACCTGCGGTGAGAGGAGGCTACAGGTACCTCCTTGTATTAGTGGACACCTTCTCGGGTTGGCCAGAGGCATTTGCCACCAGAAAAGAGACAGCGCAGGTAGTGGTTAAACAATTAGTCTCTGAAATTCTCCCCCGGTTTGGCCTACCACTATATTTGGGGTCTGACAATGGTCCGGCGTTCACCGCCCAGGTCACCAAACAATTGGCATCCTCTCTAAAAATTAACTGGAAACTTCATTGCATATACAGACCTCAGAGTTCAGGACAGGTAGAAAGGATGAATCGGACCCTCAAGGAGTTTTTAACAAAACTGAGACTCGAAACTGGCGGTGATTGGGTAAGTCTCCTCCCTTTCGCCCTCCTTCGGGCCAGATGTACCCCTTATTCACAGGGTTTTACCCCTTATGAGATCATTTTTGGAAGGCCACCCCCAATCCTTCCCAGGCTTGGGGAGGAACATCTCGGGGCCATTCACAACCAACATCTTCTTAAGTCATTGCAGGCACTCCAGCTTACTCGGAGAGCAATCCAGAAGACAGTCAGAGGAGAAGAGACAGGGAGAGGTCAAACTTCCAGAAGCCCAGTCGTCGAACCTGGGGAGCTGGTCTGGGTTAAGAAGCTCAACCCCGGTCAACTTGAGCCTCGGTGGGACGGCCCATTCACTGTTGTCCTCAGCACCCCCACAGCGGTAAAGGTTGCAGGGAAGCAACAGTGGATCCACCACACCCGACTGAAAAAGGCAGAGGGTGACCAGAAGGGAGAATGGAGAATCCAACCCACGTCCGACCCTCTAAAGGTCAAATTTTCCCTTTCCTAGTCGTCCTCATCTTGAGCCCTACAGGGGCAAGTTCCTCTACCCCCTCTCGGCCTACCCTCTATCGCTGGGAAGTTACTCGAATTCTAGATGGATCTGTAATAGAAAATACTACAACAGCCGGGTACCCTACCCTTCATTTTGACCTACGTGAAATGTTTGGAGAAGATTGGGGAAGATCGAGGAAGGGGAACTCTCTAAGATTTAGATACCGGGGAGGAGGAGGGGCAGCAGTCCAAGGCTACGGCTGCGGGGATCGAAGCCTAGAAAAAGGACTATGGCACAGTGAACATTACATCTGCCCTCGGGAAGGTCCTAGTGAGTGCGGGGGTAAAGATAGTTATTATTGCGCTGCATGGGGATGTGAGACTCTTGCCCTCTGGACAACTAGAGATAGGGATATCAGATTCACCAGAGAGATACGCCCAGGGGCTCCAGACCAAGCTGGAACTTGCCGCGTAGGTAACTGCAACCCAGTGAAGCTCGAAATCATCACGTGGAGAGCAAGTTATTGGATGGGAGGGAAGAAATGGGGCCTCAGACTCTATGTTTCTGGAAAGGACCCTGGGATTCTCTTTACAATACAAAGAAAATCCTTACCACATCAGGGAAGTCCTATAGGCCCCCTGAGACCCATTCTAGGGCCACCAACTCCCACCTATCATCCCCCATTGAACTTTTCCCCTAGAGTAGCAATTAGAGTAGCAAATAAACTGAAGCCTGGCCAACTGGACGCACCTCTCTACTTCCCCACGAATGTATTAAGAACTTTAGAAGCCATGTTCAGGTTCCTAAACAAATCCTCCCCCAACCTCACGGATGACTGTTGGTTATGTCTCAACCCTGAACCCCCTTATTATTCAGGGATTGCTGTTAACATCTCTCTTGGAGATACCCCACAGGACATAAAGAACATCTCCATGGATGCTGCGGAGGATCACTGCCAGTGGGGTCGTAACCCGAAACTCACCCTCGGGGATCTACAAGGACAAGGGACATGCTTGATGCCTGCTAATTACCCTCTGAAGGACTCTTTCTACGCCTCGTCCTGCGCCTCCACCATCCTGCTACCGGAGGAGCCATCTCGGGGAGGAGCAGCCCTGCTGGCTGCCCCTGAAGGGACTTGGTGGGCTTGTACCAATGGAATAACTCCTTGTGCTTTTCCCCCGTTTCTCATAGACAAGGAATCGCCAGGCCTTTGCATCTTAGCACACATACTTCCTCAGGTCTATTACTTCTCTGGGGAAGGGGGCCGAGAACACTTAGGTCTCGCCCCAAACCGGGTTAAGAGGGCCCCAGTCCTTGTTCCCCTTTTACTGGGAATTGGAATTGCAGGATCAACGGCTGTGGGAACATCAGCCCTTGTTAAGGGGAACCAGGACTACAAAGAATTGAGCCAACAGATAGATACTGACCTTAGCACTCTTGAGAGTACAGTCAGCAAGCTAGAAGGGTCACTGAGCTCCCTAGCTGAAGTTGTCCTCCAGAATAGACGAGGTTTAGACCTACTTTTTCTCAAACAGGGAGGGCTTTGCCTAGCCCTGGGTGAAGCTTGTTGTTTTTATACCAACCACTCTGGAGTCATAAAGGAGAGCCTTAGCCAACTAAGAAAAAGATTAAAGGAAAGGGAGGAAGCCAGGGCCAGCCAGGGGAACTGGTATGAAAACCTCTTTATGTGGTCCCCTTGGCTAACAACTCTTATTAGTGCCTTAGCTGGCCCCCTCCTCATTCTATTGCTAGCTCTAACTGTGGGACCTTGTTTGTTCAGATCTCTGGTAAGTTTAATACAATCCAGAGTCCAGGACCTTAAGATCATGGTTCTCCGAACTCACTACCATAACCTTGCTACGGAAGACAGGGAAGAGGATGAATCAAAGATTTGATTCTCCTGTAAGACCAGTAGGGAATGTGACTGTGACAGTCGGCCTAGCCTAAGAGATAAGGCCAGTTCTTTGTCCTGAGGGGCTAACCAGGGTGTGACAAACCATGTGACAGTCAACCTAATGGGCCCAAGAGATAGGGCCAGTTCCTTGTTCTGAGGGATCAATCGGGAGTGACTTACCAGCAGTGGAATGGGAAGGGAGGTATAAGAGGAGGGACTGCCCCTCCATCAGGGCTCTCACCTGGGTGTTTGCCGGCTGCTGCGTCAGCCAAGGTTTGAGCCCGGATTCGAATCTGTAATAAACTCTAGCATGCTTAATCAAATTGGCTCCGGTGGTCCATCTCTTGGGGACTCGCTTCGTAACAGCATGAAGTTTGTGCAAGAGTAGGTCTTCCTTCCTCAGGCTGCTGGCACCAGCTTCTTTCTGGCACCCAGGACCCAGGCTTAACCTCACAGCCTCAGCTTAATCCGGAAGGTTATCCAGAAGGACATCTGGTCTAATTAGCATATTATGCTTTTATTATTTTAGATGACTCTTTATGTCTCTGAATGACTATCAGTGAGTGTGCTGGGGAACATGAGAACAATAGGTCATTCTAAAGTCCTGGAGAGGAGTGAGCTTCAAACAGTTTGGGGTGGAGGCCTTATTGATTTATAAACATGGAATTCATGGAATTCTGAGGGCTCCCAGACTGTGAGAGGGGGGAGGCTGGGCTTCCGGAACCCCCTCCAGTGCCTGAATTTTCGTGAACCAGGCCCTGGGCATGAAAATATTATATTTATAAATATAAATATAAATATAAATATAAGTATAAATATAAGTATAAGTATAAGTATAAGTATAATATAAATATAAATATAAGTACATACACACACACACCATATTTTCCGGCGTGTAACTCATGCCTGAAAAAGGTTATATAGCATATGTATTTTCTTCATCAGACACACCACAGCCTGAGAAAGAATAGTTAGCACTTCAACACTATGCTTGAGGGCCATTTTAAACAGCAATATCACCACCAACAAAAAATACACATAAAAATGCAGAAAATGTGGCAATAAATGGGAAGCATAGCATTTGAGATGCTGGTGGGACCCACTTTCAGTCTTGGACCCACTTAGCTGTGTGACCTTTGGCAAGTCACAAAGCCTTATGCTTCACTTTAATATAATGCTTTTTGAAGTAAGTGTACATTAAATGTTATAATTACCTGAGGCAATATGCATATATGACACTCAGATTATAGTTACACTTGGGATATAATTAGCTGCTATATAAATAGATGGTATGTTTGTATATTATGTGTACATTCATATATATATCTAATAAAGAAGGAATATGCAAATTGACCATCACACCATCTCAAAGATGGCGGTGCCCATAACCACAATGCCCAGTCCCTTCAGCCATGCCAGAATCTCCCAGTTCTTTTTTTTTTTTTTTAATATATTTTATTGATTTTTTACAGAGAGGAAGGGAGAGAGATAGAGAGTTAGAAACGTCAATGAGAGAGAAACATCGACCAGCCGCCTCTTGCACACCCCCCACCAGGGATGTGCCTGCAACCAATGTACATGCCCTTGACCGGAATCGAACCTGGGACCTTTCAGTCTGAAGACCGACGCTCTACTACTGAGCCAAACAGGCTTCGGCAAGAATCTCCCAGTTCTTTCAGCACATCTCATGAGTGCAGCAGGCGCACGGTGTGGCCAGACCTGCCCTCAGCCCCCCAGCCACCCAGGGCCAGCCTGAAGCATGGGCAAGCCTCAGGTGTTGGCTGCCCAGATGACACCTGAGGTGCAGGCAAGCCTCAGATGGCAACTGCCTAGTCATCCAGTGCTGGCCTGGGGCTCAGGTACCACAGCTGGCTGAGGCTTGTGCTGCTGGCAGGGCAGCAGCAGAGGTGTGATGGGGGTGTCACCTTCCCCTGATTGCTGGGTCGCCTCCCACCCCTGAGGGCTCCCAGACTGTGAGAGGGGGGAGGCTGGGCTTCCGGAACCCTCTCCAGTGCCTGAATTTTCGTGCACCAGGCCCTGGGCATGAAAATATTATATATATAAATTATAAATATAAATATAAATATAAATATAAATATAAATATAAATATAAATATAAATATAAATATAGTATAAGTATAAATATAAAAATATATATATATATACACACACACACCGTATTTTCCGGCATATAAGACGAACCCCTAATTTTACAGTTAAAACATAGGTTTAGGTCTATATTCGCTGTATAAGACTAACCCCCACTTCTGAGGCAACACCAGTTCTTTTTTTAACAGACCGCCTCTCTGACTCTGTCCAATCTGAGCAGGCTTTTTACTAGAGCACAGTGTAGGGGGTCGTCTTATATGCCAGAAAATACGAGGTGTGTGTGTGTGTGTGTGTGTGTGTGTGTGTGTATACACACACATATATATATATGCAAAATATACTACAATTTTACCTGAGGAAATATTGGGATATCTAAAAAGAGGCACTCATCAGACTGTTGAAAATATGTGAATACAATAAAGCTAAGAGGCTAGAATTAGAGATTTATTCATCAGCAAAGGCAAAGAAAGAAGCAGTAGAAAAGCTGAAAGAATGAGGGATAATATATTAAGTGTATAAACTAAAATGTATGATTCAGTAATCCATATATATTATATTGCAAAAATGTTATAAATTTGATTTACTTTTTAATACATTTTACAATTCTGTGATGCATATTATTTAATAAATTAAACAAAATTTAAAATAATGTATAATATGATATGATGGCTTATGTTTGTAATACATATACCATAGAGTTTTCAAAGCTAGAGCATAAAAACTACACAATAAAATTGCCTGACAAAATGTAACTTTTGAATGCAGTAGAATCTTTTAGCCAGTTATTATCATGAATATAAATTTTTACCATATTGGCGAAGCTTGAAATTGCTAGTAAAGATGAACTTCTGGTTGATGGACTACTAAATGCACACAGGCTTTTACTATAATTTGTTCTATAGGCTAAAGTTAGTATTGTCAAACACTGCAGGCAACATTATAGATTTTAAGGCTCCAGTATCATTATATCTGCCATGGTATTAAATGTAATTCGAACACTGAAAATGCTCCT